GTGTTCCGTTCACACGCTACATTTCCTAGAGATTCCCCCCCCCCCCGCCCTCAGCTCCTCTTTACCCGAAGCAAGTGACTGCCCATACCCGAAAAAGTTTTATCAGCCACGTGCGCTCTTCCCACCCGGATCCTGTTTTCACACTGACGAGGAAATGGTCACAAATCGAAGTGGCCATTCCAGACAAGCTGCGTAGCTTTAGATGCAGCATGAAGCGCTGACTCTAAATATGTCTTCTTTATCTGCTTATCGCTTTTCTGGACGAAGTTATAACCCATTAAAGACCATTATTTTGCTTAGAAATTATGCGTGAAATTGAAAAATCCGCCGTACAGAGCCTCGTTCGCCTCAATGCTGGGCCAAAACAAGCACCTAGCTTACTTGAAATTTTTGAAGCCAGAAGCCGAGCTAAAAGTGCAACAATGTGCTCAATTTCGCTGTTTTTCTGTATGATTTTTTCACAATAAAACCGCTTGTAGCTTCGTCCATAGAAGCGGGAAGCAGATAAGGAAGACAGATTCGAAGTCAGCGTTTTATACTGCATCGAATGGTATACAGCTTGTTTGGTTTGGCCACTTCGACTTCTGACCATTCCCTTGCGAGTAACTTCCCAAGCTGCCTTAGAACACTCCACTCCCCCAAAAGTTCTTGCTCAGACTCTTACTCTTTCCGAAATTGAAATAGCAAGAAAATTCGAACTGACGTCTTTGAAAATATTTAGCCAACATCCAAACCAAATCTAGAGTTCATCAAAATTGAACACTCCCTCTTTCTTTTCACACAGTAACCTTTTTGCACAATTCCTCTTTCACTTCAAGATTTTATGACAAATCTCTCGATCGCATTTCGTAAGGGCTTTTCAGACTTCCAGCATCCTTGCGATTCATCCATAGGTACTTAAAATCCACCAATCTTCAAATTATCTTATTGTTAGCAAGCAACTGATTCAAATTCTTGAAGGGACCTACTCAAAGATGTTTCGCTTTGAGCTGCTCACCTAAAATCTCCGCTCCTTATACAAATTTAAGGTTATTCACATTTGAAGAGCGTATGACTTCTGGATAGACAGTTTAGAGCTTTTATTAGCAGAAAACTCTGAGCAGAAAATTTTTCATACATCCATTGTAGAAAAAATACTCACGAAGTCAGTACAAAAGCATGTAAGATTTTTGAAGAGCGCTAATTTTTTTCAGTTATTTGAGGCGTGCAGTGAAAACTTTGATAGTCCAAAATGCACTCTCTGACACGTTTTGAGTAGTAGACATTTGCAGAATGAATGATGTTTGTAAATAAATACCTCTTGAATGGCATGTTGCAATTTCACAGATGCTAAGCATCTGATTTGAGAATTTGTATTAATCACTGATCTCTTGCACAGAGTCAACAATGTTTTTTCTTAGAGAATTCAGTGACGCGCTGTTCAACAAAGTTGCACGATCAAAGCTGTGCTCAAATTACTGCTAAAAACACAGAATGAAGTTGCTTTTGAGTGGGTCAGTATGGAAGTTTGTGAAAAATAAATCACTTGAAATTCGTAAGACTGCCACTATTCTGCTGTAATACCTGACAATTATTTTGAATGACATAAGCATTTCAAACGAAGTGCTCATTCCAAAAAGTCATAGTTACAGACTGTCCGGAAAGTGAAAGTATTTGCGAGAAATTTTCAAAAATAGATTTAGTGCAGTTTATCTGAGATAAAAGCATTTGCTGAGCATTTCATGAAAGAATTTGGAAAACTTCAACCTTCTTGCTAGATATTCTGGCAGGAAAAAGGCATGATAAAATTTTAGCAGAAAAAAGGCAGTATAATCCATCGGAAAAGATTTGGCACAGCTGTTTTGGGGAGAGGAAACATATTACGCACTCGAGAAATGAATAAGGGCGGCCGCACTATTTTGCTGAAATATCTGACATTTTTAAAACTTATGGTGCACTCCAAATTAAACGCTCCAGTGTAGAACTAGAGAAGCTTGAAATGTAACAAAACAAAACAAAACAAATCTTCCAATAACGATTTCGGCGGCACTTGTTGGAACAGGAAAACGGTAATTATATGTTGGAAGTATTAATAGAGGTCGTGCTCAACTCAAAGGACTGAACAAACTTTCTAAAAACGGATTCGATGCAGTTTTCTGTGCAAACTTATCAGAGGTTTTGGGACAAATTGATTACTCTTGAATCATTCTAACACTGTCCAACAGCAAAGGTGGTGAACCGAATGAACCTGTTGAACAGGATAAGTCTGGCACCTGCCTTAGTGACATCGGACGTGCGCGGCGCAATGGCCGTACGCACGATCCGACTCTCGCGATCCTGCAGGCCCCTATAGGAGATTGGGGGGGGGGGGGACAGGCGTTATGGAGCAAAGCTACGCCGCATTCCCCTGCGGTATATCCTGAGGGCCACTTGCGTTGCGTCGCCTCAAATTGCAGCCACAGGAGTATCGGTGCTCTTGCCAGCGATTTAAACTATTTTCTATTGGTACGCTTCAAGATGTTCAAACTGCACAAATGCAATGAAAAAAATTGAAGAAAAGGATGAATCTCAGGGATGAATTGAAGGCTGAATATGATATGAATCAAAAGCTGGATTTAAAAAGTGTTTAAGAGAGGTGGAATATGAGATTAGATAAGAAAACAAGAAGATTTTCCGTCAACGACTGTCCAAAAAAATCGATTTCGTTTTATTTTGGGGTTCTGTTTTACAAACACTTCTTCCTCAAATTATATTTCTAATTTATCTTCAAAATCCGTTTATCACTCGAATTTTGATCCTTTTCTATGAAGAATATGGAGAACGGTTCAATCCGCTGGGTAACGCTAGCTCATCTGCGGCTGCAATTAGGAGCGACGCAACGCAAAAGGCCCTCAGGATATACCGCAGGCGAATGCGGCGTAGCTTTGCTCCATAACGCCACGCCGCCGGAGATTGGTAAGTATCGCCCCTGGCAAGCCCGGTCGCGACCGCAAAATATTGCTCCTGAAGCAAGTAAACAGCAGAGACGCCTGTCGATTCAATCTCGTCCTTACCGAAGCACATAGTCATGCGGGACGCCTCGCTGCAACCAATAACAAACTCGCAATTGCCGTGTTGCAGCACGATCCCCGTTGGTAAGGACAAAAGAATCGAGGGGTGTCTCTGTTCAGACTTCCGAAGGTGTTTACTCGTTTCAAAGCAATACTTTGCGATCGCCGCCGGGCTATGGCCTGCATAGGGACCTCGCTTTGATACTATGATGACGGTGAGGTGCTGCTCCCAAATCTGCTCGGACACTGCCTTTGAAGGAGCGGCTCGGCAGAATGACAAATTTGGGATATTTCGTTCTCGGTTCCCCTGGATGAATTAAGCCCAAGACTGTGCTTTGCAGCTTCAAAAGATATCATAACGCGCTTTTCCAAAAGTGAAAAGTGATAATTGAGCGGATGGCGTATGCCTGCCCTCTAAGGCTCGTGGGTACGGTAATTACCGTGCCTCCACTCACGAGCGATCGCGCTCTAGAGAGCAGGCATACGTGGTACGCCCAAAGAGCACTTTCAGTTCGGAAAAGCGGGCTATATATTTTGAAGCTGCAAAACACAGTTTCAGACTTAGCTCATCCATGGAAACCGAAAACGATAAATATCCCGAAGTTGTTATTTTTCCGAGCCGCTGCCTTTACAGTGTCAATTTAGTCAATGCAGCCGAATGTTTTCCGTCATAGTTGCCAGCAACTCTTGCCAGGTGCCGGATTTGGTATCACTCTGTATTATGCGCTCTCGGCAACAGTCGGCAACATATGACCGATCCCTGGGGAAACGGCCTGCTTCAGCTGTGCCTAATTCAACGTCCTCAAAATACGCGTGATTATCCTTGTAGACAGCCTAAAGCACACGTAGGGAGCTGATCGGTAGTTCTGAAGCTCTTCTCTCTCGCCTTTTTTGTAGCAGAATTGTGCGGCATGTGCTCCACTGTTTGGGTATCCCTTTCTTCTTCATGTTAGAACTTTGAACATGAAAGTCAATAATCCTCTGCACTTTACAAGGAAATTTTCCCGTGCTGCAGGCAACTTTTTCATGTGTGCCCCAAGGCAGTGCTCGACAAACCCTAACGTGGAGATTGCTGGCTTACCTGGGGTTGTTCAATGCGCTATTCCCAAAAATCTACCTTGGAATGCGCGAAAATGGTGAAAAACAACATTTTGCGGGGGCCTCAATTCAAAATATGGACGAGAGAAACAGTCCCCGCCATGGTGAGACGTTGCAGTACCCTTACGGTTACAACATTGCGGCAATCTCCGATGGTGGGAAGGAAATCACGAAGAGTAGAAAGTGTTAGACCTGATGACACGGTATTTGCTTGGTGGGAGACACGTAAGACAGAACACTCTTAAAAGACCAGATTAAATCCTGTATATGTCTTCAATCAAATGTCATAGGCCACAATCTCGAAAAGCCTACCTAGGTATAGTCGAGTAGATCTGACGGTATTCTCCTCAGGTAGGTTAACCCAAAGTATGATACAAATTTGTTACATAAATCTCTACACAAATACATTAAGAAGGAGACCCTACACACCTATATAAAGCAGTGTACGCTCGAGAGAGTGGCAACAAACACAGCGAAACACTAGAAAACCACAAGTTTTATTGAGAGCGAAGAGGGCCAGGGGTATCGCTTCTTTAGCCCTTCGAGGCAATAAACGCAATGAGGTCCACAACGCGGCATGAATAACCAAACTCGTTGTCATACCTAATTAGAAGACCACTTAATACCATAAGATATACTGCAAAGACTTACCATGAGATAAGCTTGACAAAATTGGGGTTGAGAGAAATGCAAGCTCCGGGTTGAGCCAGAGTGCGCGGCGTACGGGCGTACGTGACGTATGCAGCGTACGCTCGGTATATTTTATCATAGGAGAGTACGCGGCGTACGCTGCGTACGCCGCGTACGCCGCGCAGTCTGGCCCAACCCTCCAGCATCGAAGATCGAAGAATTGTGGTCACAGATGAAATCAGTCGACACGACCTGATCCTCTGTGTATCCCAAAATACCCTTCATTGGACCCTCAGAGGCTGCCTTGACGACCTAAGGCAGGAACTCAGCACTTTGATTGACGTCACTCAACAAACCTTTTTGATGTCATCCTTGGAAGCCGCTTTCTGCAGACGGCAAGTGAGATCGACTACCGAGACATCAGGGGTTGGCACACGGAAGGCCATTCCAGTGAGTTTTCCATTTAGAGCTGGGATGACCTTGCCGACAGCCTTGGCAGCACCAGTCGAAGCAGGGATGATGTTCTGGCCTGCACCACGTCCATCACGATAGTGCTTTCCTGATGGGCCATCAACTGTTTTCTGCGTCGCCGTTGTGGCGTGGACGGTAGTCATAAGTCCTTCGATGATTGTGAAGTTGTCATTGATAACCTTAACAAGTGGAGCAAGACAGTTTATGGTGCAAGAAGCATTACTGAAACAGAAATGAGTCCAGTAAGGAAATGTGCACACTGAAGCGATAAAAGCGCACCTGATAATGTGCTTTTTAGCAGCATCGTACTTTTCGTGGTTCACACCCATTACAAACATCGATGCGTGTGGATTGTGCTGAGATGACTACCTAAAACACTGCTCATTATTCAAAAGATTAGTATGTTCATCGATGGCAAACGTTGTACCTTTTTAGCGCCTCCTTTCAAGTGAGCAGATGCTCTCTCGATGGTAGTGAACACACCTGTAGATTCAACAATGATTTGGGCTCCATCAGATCCCCATAGAATTTCAGCAGGATCCTTGCTGTAAAAACTCACAAATCATATTATTCAAGAAGAGTTTTGCAAGCATTATCATCCATATTTCGGTCATTCAACTACAATTAGTAAGCACTTTCCCTTTACAATCCATTAGAGATTTTAGCGGGCTTGCCACGCCCGACTTTTTTCACATTTTTTTCAATTTACAAGACTTTTTTTGTAATTCAAAGATTGTTCTCAATTATCTTCAAGTAAAAAGTCACGCGCGCACTTTTACAACTAACGTGGTATCGAGTTAGAGCACGGTGGCTGTTCGAGCTATCTTTTTACATAACATATTCTGACTGCTAGATTCTACGATCACAGAGCAAAACGAATGAGAGGTAGGCAATTTATGGCGGCAGTGATGCCTGTCTAAGGCTGCGTTCATACTGATCCCAAAGTCCCGGAACAGTTCCAGCACAGCGCTCGAATTAAGCGCTGTGCTGGAACTGTTCCCAAATTTTGGGATCGATATGAACGCAGCCTTTTGCGCCAAGAATCCATGTGAGATACGATCCCGGGGTACAGTTTCGAGGCGCATCTCTCAGCCTTTAGAGCACTACCTGAGCTGCCTGTTGGGCAGTGGCTTAGTTAGGGCCCCAAAATTACTTTCCAAGTAAAATTCCCATAGGTCCAGATCTGCCTAAACGCTGCCTTTAAAAACCATGAGATATCTATGAAGAAAAACTTACAACAGTGTGTGTAAATACGTCAAATTCTTTATCCATGTCTTTCGGGTCCATCAAAACGTGGATGGTCAAATTCTCCCTGATGATTACGGTTTTAACAATTCCAATTGTCAACACCTAAATTAATAAATTAAGCACTGTGCTTTAAATATAAAAAAAAATAACTGTGCTAAAATGATAGTCCCCATAAGAAAACTTCTCATCAATGCCCGCAGAGTACTCCACGGCTACAGTTACAGGTACAGGCAACGCTTCGACAGCCGCCGGCAGCGGCACTTCTACAGGAAGTGCACTTTTTAGTAAATCTTCAGTTGAAATGTTTGCCATGATACTAAACATCAAGTTTTAAACGACACATTGACAACCATCTCTATAACATAAGTTTCAGGCAACAACTACTATGAAGTTACCAAACTATAGGGCTCAGGATCGCGAGAGTCGGTGAGTTTGCGGCCATTGCGCACGCAGGATGCTACAAGGCCTCAAACCACTCAAACAATCCTGTATTTCTCGGAATCGCCTTAAATAATCAGAAGCTTACATTTGATAGCAGAAAAACGTCTAAAAGGCGAAAAAAAGACCGAGAAAGCTCAATGCGCGAGCAATGGCCGCAACCTCACCGACTCTCGCGATCCTGCAGGCCCCTATACAAAAAAATCCTGGAAACAGGCTGCGAACCAAACTGAGTGTGAAAAAAAGGATATTCAATTATGCTTGCTCGAAAGAACTTAACCTAAACTTGTTTGTTTGAAGAACTCAATAATATCTCAAGTCTGTGTGACTGCTTAGAAACAAGGAAGGCAAAAAGATTTTTGATTTTGAAATCAAGAACTATGACACGAAAAGAAATGAGGAGAGGGTGATCGAGAAAAGATAAAACGGATATTCAAATGGTAATTCCTCCAAAACGCTTCATGTGTGCGTAATTGATCAGCAAGTACACCAAATTGAAGCAATTATGCGAAATTGCAAAAGATTTATTCTCATGAAGAACTACAATACGAAAAAGCATAGCTAAGATGGAACAGAACAAGTTCTTCAGCCGCATAAAAAGATGATGAAATATGTAACCCGACATGATTCAACTCCAAAACGAAGCGCTTTTAACTATGGCAAAAATAACAATAGAACGAATCAAAGAAGAACAACCATTATCGACCGCTTCAGAAGCGTGTCGAAGAACGCAGGAACGAAACAAAAAATCAAAAAAAAAGGAAAGCGACCATTTTAGCGTGTCGAAATACGCAATGAGAATGGGAAATCGAAGCAAAGGGCAGCTCACCATCCCACATGACTTCCAGACTGGAAAACAACAGACACGAAAACACTGTCGCAAACCATAAAAACACCATCGAAGACGTACAGACAGCATCAACATGCTTATCCACCAACGTACAGACAAGTACACCATTCGGTTTTATATATATAGAAGGATGGTGTCTTTATGAAAAATGGTGTCTGCGCGTCAGTACGAGACAAAAAAGAATTGGATTGCTCCAGAAAACAAGTTTTGGAAGAGGGTGATCTGTGAGCAAGATTTTTGGTGAGAAGGGCAAGAAATCCGCACTGAAAATTGCTGGACAAAAACAAACGGTCGACATACTCTGCGCAAATGCACAGTTTGGAGGTGGTCAACTGCAAATAAAAGGCACAATGGACAGGTCCAGGGGTTCTTATGCACAACAAAGTATGGCCCCATATGGCAAACGTCATCGAAATTGTCCTGCAAGAGTTGACCGGAAGGTGCACTGTTATCAAATATGCTGCTGAGATTTCTAGAAATTGCCATCTGGCCTGGACTACTGCAAATCATAGGAACGATCTCAAGCGTCTCCAGAATCGAAGATTCTGGTAGGAATTCTGGTCTAAAAATGTCAAGTTCTTAAAGATTTGATTTTCTGTTCAAGCAAATCCTACAAACCTCTAACTTGACTTGGAATATTACTTGTAGCATCATCATGTGTACACTTGCTGTATTTTCTCCTGTGGCCAAAAGTTAAAAAAATAAAATATGGCACGCTTTTTACTCTTGGCATAACTAGAAAGAAAATCCTTTCAGTAAAGTGTTATTGTATTCATCAACCGAGAACACACAGCTCATCAATGAAATTTTCGGCCTCCATGGGTCAATATGCAGCCATTGATGAATGGCTCAAAATCACTCTCAAAGTTCCTACCGTAATCCTATAGTAGTGAAGAGCGGTAAGTGATTTGCTGCATACTGTAAACCTAGGTTGGAGCGTGCCTTATTGATTGAAGTTAAACTAAGCAAAATACCTTGTGGGAAGAGAGGCTATCAATGATTAGCAAGTGGTGCTTACTTTTGAAACACCTTGTATAGCTTGGCAAGCAAGGTTTTCAACAAATAAATGTCAGAAATTAACAAAATTATTTTAGAAATTAATCATTCACATAATGATTTGTAGTTTTGTCTAGCTAATCTCTGCCAGCAATGATTATCAACTTTGTTGCAGAAAAAAGTTTGACCTTCTACGAGAATTTTCACATATGCATAACCAAATTATGTGTCAGATTTGTTTTGTCAAATGACAATCGAGATTGTTTCGATTCACAACGACAATTTTAATAAACCTTTTTACTTGAAGGCAGTGTCCGGGCAAAAACTCGATCTTGAGATTTTTTGCTTACCCGGGTCTATTCGCTACGCTGATTCCAAAAATGCACATTGGAGAGCGCGAAAACGGCGGAAAGTGGCTCTAACAAGGGAGGGAAATCAGCAGGTGGGCTGGGCCCTCCCCACTGTGAATTCACGCTCCCAGCTTCCAGAGCGATCTTCTCGGTTCCGATTTCAAGTCATGCATTCGCACCTGGCCAGAGGAGATCTCAGGGCGCCCAAGAAGCAATGTGATGTCCGAGACTCTCTCTTGCTCCTAAAGTGCAGAACATATCAATAACAGAATGTGAGCTGAAACACCGAATGCATCCACAAACTATACTTTCTTTTGATGTCGTATAGTGGCACTATGGGCTATGCAAAGTAAGTTTACTAGTTTGTGGATGAAAAACTTGACAAGCCTTAAGTGGATAAGCTAAAGGTTTGGACTTGCAAAATGCCCAGTCATATTAGTTTTCAGTTTTTGACTGCAAAAAGAATCATATTCAGTTCTTAACAGATCTGATTTACTATGTCTAAAAATTCTAAGAAAAAGAAAAAACTTGTAGGAGTGTGCTGTCGAAACATGCAATGTCTACATAGCACTTTAGCATTAATTTTATCAGGTCGTCCGGAAATTAATGCAGGTTTTGGTTTCCAACCGCAATAAGTCATACATTACTCATTTTTGAATAGGTTGCAAGGTACTGTTCGATAGAGCAAAGCAAGCTCCACAAGAAGACTATCTTGTTTTAGCAACAGCTGTGACACACCACGAGTTTCGAGCCAAAAAATAAAAAGATTCAACTGCCTGAAAAATTGAGAAAAATCGTAATTCAGTTCGTAAAAACCCTACAAAAACTCTAACTTGCTCACGTAAACACAATCCACATAAGGCACCTATACACGCCGTTGCAGTATTTTTTTCTCTGCTAGAAATCAAGAAAACTAAAATTTGCTAAAGTGGTGCTGTGCCGTTCCCGCATTGGTAGTTGTATACTACAAACCTTTAGAAGTACAAACATAGATTTCCAGCTCTCTACAAGCTTAAGTTCTCAAGAAATATCGAATACAGTTTTCCCTAGTCATGTGGTCCGAGCTAAAATTCAAATTTCTCGCGAACTAAAGCTTGTAGAGAGCTGGAAATTTACGTTGGTACTTCTAAAGGTTTGTAGTGTACGATTACTCATGTGGGGACGGCACAGCATCACTTTAGCAAATGCACGAAAATTTTAAAGTTTTCTTGATTTCTAACAGAGAAAAAAATACTGCAACGGCGTGTATAGGTGCCTTATGTGGATTGTGTTTACGTGAGCAAGTTAGAGTTTTTGTAGGATTTTTACGAACTGAGTTACGATTTTTCTCAATTTTTCGGGCAGTTGAATCTTTTTAGTTCTTGGCTCGAAACTCGTGGTGGATCAGAGCTGTTGCTAAAGCAAGATAGCCATCTTGTAGAGCTTGCTTTGCTCTATCAAACAGTACCTTGCAACCCATCAAAAATGAGAAATATATGACTTATTGCGGTTGGAAATCAAAACCTGCATTAATTTCCGGACAACCTAATACCTACAAGTAGCACAAAGTCACAATCTAATTATCCTGCTAGTCAAGCCGTCTGTCGGTCGATATAGCATCGAGTCAATCCAAATTTAAAGTATGTTGTTGTTTCAGCTTCATCTATGGTCCATGTTATGTGCATAAAATCTGATGAGCATCAAAGCCATATTCACTCTTCATCAAGGATGAGACTTCTGTTTGTAACTGTATGTGTTTTACACTTCTCTTTATCATGTCAGTTACAATGTCTTTTTGAGGTATTGTTAATGTTGGCGATTATGACTATGGATGTGGAAGCAAGAAGACAGAGGCACATATCAAGGCGTCTTTACCGAGAGCTATTAAAGATTGCCGAAGAAATGGATATTAAAGTAAGCGATGTCGAATATTCATTGCGATCCTAGATTCTAGAACTGCAAATAATCCATCCTTCAGGTCACCCCTGCACTACGACATAACTTATGGAGATATGGATATGTAAGTTCATAAGTACTAGTAGACTTACTATACATCTTTCCGCTAATGCCGTTCTTCATAACACTTGCTGCTCTGCTTTTTTAAACTGTTTGAACGAGACTGACCAATCTTTCAATTTGAACATTCAATGAAAGTAAACTTTTCTAGTATAGAAAGGTAGTGTCCCAATCACCTGAGCAGGAGTCTTCGATGAGTTCCAAATCAAGAAAGGTGAGCCTACGTGGGCAGAAGTCTTCGACCACTTCCGAATCAAGTGAAGAGGTGAGCCTATGATCTAATACTGCAATGTCTTGCAACCATCGTAGTGACGGCTTATTAGTCGCACGCTAATTAAATTTTTCTAGATAACAATGCTGAGCATTAATACCCACAATTCTTGTTCGTGCGCAATATGTCAGATACTTTTCTGTGGGTGAACGCTACTAAAATTTTCAGGTCACCGATGCTCATTGAGATTAGCGCAAACTGGTTATTTTTGCTTTTACCCTTCGCTCTTGTAAGAAAATAGCGCTGAGAGATCTTTCATTAGAAAAATGTAACTTGAACTAGGAAGATGCCACTTTTAGAACAGATCAGGCAATTTTTTGAATACGCATGAATTGGTAGCAATGCTGCTTGAAGAAGCTGTCATTAGCAAAAACTTCGATGCAGTTTTTACACATTTTTATCGCGATCACTTTCAACATCCTCGACTTTTCACATCGTCTGGTCATCCATATCCCAAAAACTGCACAATTTCAGTGTTATTACAATTATTACAATGCCTAGCTCACGGAAATCTTTAAATTGTTAAAACATTGAAAAACTTGAAAAGCTAATATAAGGGGATTGCTGATAGCTCATGGTTTCTCGCTTTCCAGAAGAAAAACTGATAAATGAAGAACGTCATTTCAGGAGTAAGCTCCCGATGAAGTGTCGGCTTTGACACCGTTGTTCCGCCTTTAATAAATAATTTTCTAATTGTTGTGAACAGCAGCACATTTTTTCGATCACAAAGCTAAACATGCCAGGTGACCTGCAATGCATCAAATTGGTGTGTGCAAGTGGAACACAGGTACTTTAAATTCAAATAAAAGACAAGAAGAAGCCTACGCCAATGCTGGAACGTTCTAACACTATCATTCACGTGTTTGACTGTTCTATCATGATAATTGGCATTTTGATAATTCGTACATTCACAGATAATCGCCGGGGGAGGCGGCCATGTGAGTTTTGAGCAAGCGGGCACCGGAAAAATAGTTCGCTGATTTCTGGCGGCCCGCTTGCAGAAATTTGGAAGAATGTTGACCAATTTTCAGACAAATGCTCGGAGAACTATCGCGGCTTCCCTATAGATTAGTTGCGGCGCATCGGCCGCATTCTCGCGGACTTTGCGCGAGAGTATGCAAGGATATGGGGGCCGCACGGTCCTTTGTGAAGGACCGCACAGCCCTCAGGTACCTTCCGCTAGGAGAAAGTACCTCAAACTAGAGTAATTAAACCATCATGACACTCTGCAGCATAGAATGTCACATTTGCTCGACGTACGCCCCAAACTGCTTAAAAAGAGTCCGAGCAGCTGCTGAAAGTTTGGCCAGCACTCGCTGAAAGAAACTTGACGAGCGCCCGCAGAAAACTCTGTATTCTGAATGTTTGAATGTTCTCTGAATGTTTCTATTCCGATGTCTGGTGGCTGGCATAAGCTAGTGCTACGGCGGTCCTTTGCATATAATCTATCGGTAGCCTTTCCGTAATTTCTCCGCCAAAGTAAAGGAAAGCACAAGAGCTTTTTGTCCAACGAGCTTTGTAGTATCCTATTTCCAGGTGTATAAGCCGCGGGGGATTTTTATTGAAACTGACCAGCTCAAAGACGCCAAAGGACCTGGCGGTCGAGGGACCATACCGCGCACGTATTGCCTGAAGAATTGTGCGGCATAACGATTGCTCCGAAACACATGTCGCTTAAAAATTTCAAAAAGTGCAGCTTATACACTTGAAAATAGGGTATATGAAAATTAGACGGTTGTCATGAATACTGATACTAACACTGACACTGGCAATGATTATAAAAAGTGGCGTTTTTGCATCAATACGAGACAAAAAAAATTTTTAATTGCTTCAAAGAACAAGTTTCCGAGAATGTGTCCTTTGAGCAACACTTTTGGTGGGATGGGCAGAAGGTCCTGCAATGAATATTGGGACAAGAACAAAACGTTCAAAAATAATATGTGCAACTCAACTGCACAGTTTGGATTGGGTCATACTGCAGAAATGACGATGGACAGGTCAAGGAGATTTTCTGCATATGGGCGTAAGGCGAACGTCGATATTCTCCCGCAAAACTTAACCGGAAGGTACATTAGTATCAAATGCTTGCTGAGATCTCTAGAAAACTACCGCCTGCCCTGGACTACTGCAAATTCTAAAAACGACCTCGAGCGTCTTCAGAATCTAAGATTGTGATTGGACGATTTTCTGGCGACCGAATTGGCTGAGCTTTTGCCAAAACTTGACTGAAGTATGACTGCAAGGTGATGGAAGATTGTGCGCAACAATGGAACATAATATTAGGTTGTTACATAAGTCTTGTTACACTTAGCTTCTAACGGCGATAAGTCATACACCTTATAGTCTTTGCAGGACTTCAAGGTACCATTCGATAGAGCAGAGCAAGCTTTACAAGATGGTCTGCAAAAGTTCGCACCAGCTCCGACCCACCGTAAGTTTGCACCCAAAATCTGAGTCGTATTGAAATTCAAAAAAACGCGAAAAATCCATATCTTTTTTCAAACAAATCCTACGGATCTCCAACTCGCTCACAAAAATTGCCCACTATATCAAACACTCATATGTACCGTTGCTGTATTTTTTCCTTATCTAGAAATCGAGAAAAAGAATTTTTTTTAGTTTTTACAAAAATGAAGCTATGCTGTTTCTATTCACGTAGCTGTATACTACAAGCTCTTAGAAGTATAACCGTAAATTTTCAGCTTTACAGAAGCTCTGGTTTTTGAAAAATACCAAATTTGGCTTTTATCACTCGGGTGTTCCATGCTAAATTAGGTATTTTTCGAAAACTGGGGCTTCTGGGAAGCTGAAAATTTACGGTCATACTTCTAAGAGCTTGTAGTATACAGCTACATGAATAGAAACAGCATAGCTTCATTTTTGTAAAAACTTAAAAAAATTCTTTTTCTCGATTTCTAGATAAGGAAAAAATACAGCAACGGTACATATGAGTGTTTGATATAGTGGGCAATTTTTGTGAGCAACTTGGAGATCCGTAGGATTTGTTTGAACAAAGATATGAATTTTTCGCGATTTTTTGAATTTCAGTACGACTCAGATTTTGGGTGCAAACTTAGGGTGGGTCGGAGCTGGTGCGAACTTTTGCAGATCATCTTGTAGAGCTTGCTTTGCTCTATCAAATGGTACCTTGGAGTCCTGCAAAGACTATGAGATGTATGACTTATCGCCATTAGAAGTTAAGTGTAACAAGACTTATGTAACAACCTAATACATATTTGACTGAGTTTTGACAAAATCATGTCAATGTTAACGAAAGCTCTAAGAGCTTATGAAACCTATACAGTTTTCTGGAGCACATGCAGAAGGAGAGGAGGTTGATTGATACTCGGTCAGCCTCTCACAGCGGTACCTATCTTTCAGAGTGTATATTGACACTGACTACCATATGGTCTTACTTCGGTGCCTCTCGCTTTTCAAAAACGTAGAAACAATATCGGAAACCTCAGATTTGTTAAAAATTTTCCTTTTATGTGCGTCGTGCAGAAATTAGTGCGGTAATCTTGAACATCGTAAACTAGCCGCACAGATCCTTATTTAGTGGTAGCCTAACCCTCGACTTGAAGACTGCAGGTATCGGCGAAGGTGACGGCACCAGCAACTGACAAAGAGCTTTACCAATCTTAGTCAGCTCAAAAAGATAAGCACAAACTACAAATCTAAGGTCATAAATCGAGCTTGATTAGCAAATATACTTCGAAATTTCTGAAAACTTTTCCTTATTCAAAATGTTATTCCAAAAATAGCTTTGTGAATCTTACTTCAACGGCTCATGCAGAGATGTAGACATGACTCTGCTCAAATCTGCTGAACTCTATAGACTACGTGCTGCCACTTTCAAATCTCTCTCAATACCTAGAAGTCTGTCAGCTCACATGGCCACCAACAGACTTCAACCCATGAATTGGGTAGCAAACAAAAAAGTTATTTACAATTAAAACGTTATGCCATGCCACACCAAAATTGGTGTGCACATAAGGGGATTCGATCTATGGTCAAATATTTAAGGAAACTTATTTACATGAAAATGTGCTCAAATTTTTTCCAAATTCGCTTGGACCGTTCCAGCTGGATTTCTTAGCTCATAGAACTTTTTGTACTTTTTTTTTTGCGCGAACTGTTCCTTCCCGTGAAAGCTTTGATACGAGCAAAAGATTATTTTACAATCCTTCCTCTAACTTTTTATATCCCTTACGAAATTCTCTTTGGCGGCACAATATACTCCGATCCCAAAGTGCGCCCAGCATTTGGGCCTTGGCTATGCTCGACTTTCTATTTCCGTCTTTCTATTTATGTTTTTTTCTTGTTATACATAAATGTTACCATTTTCAAGAGAGAGGATTTTGGTGAATGGCTTTGGTAAGGGGAGGAAAAAAATTGATAAGTGCGCAAGGGAGATGTGGAGATGGCAAGATCTGAAGTGTTTGGTTCAGAGTCCAACCATGGAGCAAAACGCTTTTGACATATGATGCAAAAAGTAATAAAAGATTTCTTGGCTTCCCATTCAATAAACAATAGAAGAGGCGAGCCCTTTTTCTCCAGCCCTATTCCGTCTATTCTGAGATGAACGATGCACAAGCAAAAAAAAACAGGTGAGAAGTAGTGAGGTTAGAGGAGAAAGTAAGGGTCAAAAAGAACCATTCTTTGAAATCAAAGACGGCTTCTCTTGGTTACAGTTAGAGCCTGCCTAATCCTCTCCACATGTTGTAATTATGAGATTATCGCTAAATACCAGAGATTTTTGAAATTGAAGTCAAAAGTGGTGTGACAGATATGCGTCAACCTAATATTTGATGTTGAACTCGTCAGATTATGAATTGTAGTTCTTACTCCAAAACC